AAAAAAAAAGTAAATGTCCACAAAATCACAGAATGCAACACAAACCAACTAGAAGTAAATGCATTCGTAGGCTTGCGTATTCGGGACCCTCTCCAAGGCCGTGGTACCGAAGAAGACGATGCTGCGGTCGGTCCAGACGTGGCTTCTTCTTCTTTTTCTTCACCTAATTAATTAATTTTTGTAAAAAATCAGTAATTCGACTAGACAAATAAATAAAAACCAATGTTTTGAAAAGCGAACCGGTCATCGAACCGGTCAAGCTACTTCAATGGTTCACTGGTCGAACCAGTTGTCGAACTGGTCGAACCGGTTTAGTTAATAATTTTTATTTATTTTATAGGTATAATATATAATTCTATATATTTTTATCATTAATTTTATAGTGTGTAATGAAATTTGTCTAAATAAATAAAAGGAAACAAAGACTTCTCTAAACACTACATTTTACCCATTTTCTATTCTTCTTTTTGGTTTTAAATGTGAAATTATTATTATTTTTTTTTTAACAGAACAACACCCCAAAAAGAGGGTGGGGGGTTAAGGTCGGACCTCCAACCTGTATATAAACAAGGCCCTAAATGGACTGAGAAAGTCACAGTCTACAAGAATAATGTCCAATATACATCAAGTCAAACGAGAACCATAACAAAAAAGATACAAAAACAACAAAGAACTCGAAAGATGTCAGATCCTGGTCCAAGAAAGTCCGGCAACAGGTCCGCACCATGGTAAGCCAAAGTCCTCAACAGGTGTGGGCCACTATGCAAATCTGAATGAAAGGTATCCCATCTAATCCAACCGTATAAAATGTACGAAGGCGAAGAGGGATATCGTCAGGATGGAGAATATGTCTCTCGGTGGTGGATGTCCCAATACTAGCAAGAAAGTCAACAGGTCGATTCCCCACTCGAAAAATGTGGAAGATCTGATAGCGAATCGATTGAAGTGTAGCCCTGATACGAATGAGTGGGTGCTGAATTTGCCACGGGCCCTGATGGCCAGATGTCAAGAGTGTGATGACAGCAGCAGCATCCAACTCTATCCAAATGTGAGAGGAGATCGAGGCGGCAATCTTCAAACCGCTCTGAAATGCATGAACCTCCGGGTCATAGCTCGAGGAGGCCTAAAGGGGGGCATGGAAGGCGGTAATAAGAGCACCGCTATGGTCCCTGATCAGGCCCCCACCTCCAGCAGCTCCGGGAAGTCGGTCAAATGAACCGTCAGTGTTTAGCTTAACCCAAGGGGGCTCGGGTCTCAACCAAACAACAGCTCTGGGCCGTGGGGCCTGGGCAGGCGGCATCGGAGGCCGTGCAAAGTGGTGGGGTGGTGTGCAACCTATCCGGTCTCTCGGGGTGAGTCTATCCAGAGCGGTGAGGAGGGGAAGGTGTCGGTCAACCTGCAAAATAATGTGGGAACACAAAAAGGTAATATCTCTATTCTTCGTATTATTCCTTTCTGTCCAGGTGAACCAAAGGATCAGACAAAGAATATGGAAGCCCACGTGTCTAATGTGTGTACGCTGTGTCAAAAAACTCAAAAGCTCAAAAAAATTATATGTGGTGGGAAGGGGTATATGAGTGTATCTGGTATAATGCTCCCACACTCTCCTCACAGTCTCACTCTCAAGAAATAAATGGGTGAAGGTCTCAGTCTGGAAATCGCCGGTCTCAGCACAATAATAGCAACAAGAAGGGAACAAGAACCCTCTAGCTTGCATCACAATGTCAATCAGAATACGGCGCAGAAGAAGGCGCCAAAGAAAAACAGAGATGGTTGGTGTAAGGAGGTCGGTCCATATGGCCCCGAAGAGGTGGTTAGGTTGGTCACCCAGCCGTATATCCCCCCAAGCCGAGGTCGTAAAGAATTCACCCGAAGATGTAAGTCTCCACCTCATACTGTTCAACCCTCCTCCCGAGATGGGAATCTAATGGATCTGCTCTATCTCCTGATCACTAAAGCCCGCCCAGTACCCAGAATCCTCTACAGCCTATCCCTATCCCAACCCCCCTCCGACCAAAGATCCTTCACCTGCAGGAAGGGAAGGTGGGTGACATGTCTAGTGCTCGAGAGTGGACCATCACCAAACCACCACTCATCCCAAAAGCTAATGTCCCCCTCACCTAGTGTCAAAAAAATGTGCTTCTAAGCACGTCTACCGACCATGGTGAGTCGTCTCCACTGTCTACTATCACGTTTGTGGCCGTCACCCTACAGGGGTGGGCAGTGCCTCCAGGACAGTACTTCCGACGAAGACACTGGGACCAAAATGACTTGCCCTCCCTGAAGCACCACCACATCTTATAAGAGAATGCAGTGACGACATCTGTAAAATGCTGGATCCCTAGGTCACCCTCGGAGAAAGGGCAGTATACAGAGTCCACTTAACCCAGTGGGCCTGTCTCCGTCTCTGGGAGCCCTCCTGAATTGTAGACTAGTGGGGGTCAAGAACGGTAAGAAGGTGAAGTGGAAGGGTGTTGAGGGTGCTCTTGATCAGAGCAAGCCGACCCCTAAAAGAAAGATGTCCGTGAGACCACTAGAGATTCGATCAACCATCCTCTGCCTAACATCAGCAAAGAGCTCATGTGAGAGGTGGCCCTTGTACAAGGGGGCACCAAGGTAGGTGATGGGGAGGTCTCCGTGCGCGAAGCTAGTACGCTCGTGGACCCAATGGTCCTACTGGTCCGCAATGTGATAATCTAGGGTGAAGCTCTTTTGCACACTAACGAGCTGACCGAAAACCAAGCTATAGTATCCTAGAGGCGCATGAGCTCGGCCAGTCCAGTATTATCCGTAGGAGTGAAGGTAATAATGTCATCCGCGTAAGAGAGATGCAAGATGGGAGGTCCATAGCCACGCGTGCTATAGGTCATCCTCGGGAAGTCGCGAATGAAGCCGTCAAAGCAACGAGAAAGGTAGTCTGCCGCCAGTACAAAAAAAGAGGGAGAAAAGGGTCACCCTGCCAAAGGACACGGGTGGAAGGGAAGAAATCAGTGGGGCTACCATTAACTAGAACCGAGAACGTGCAGTGCTCCACGCACACCTTCACAAAACTAATCCAACGTTCGAGGAAGCCCATTCGAAACAGAGCCTCCCTGAGAAACGGCCACTCGACCCTATCATATGCCTTAGCCATATCTATCTTCAGCACAAGGTTCGGGGCACGTAACTGATTCGAATGGGAGATGTCATGGATCATCTCCTGAGCCAAGAGAATGTTATCACTGATGACTCGATCCTTGATGAAACCACTCTAGTTCGGAGAGATGAGGAAAGGGAGGAGTGGGGCTAGGCGACCGTTAAGGATCTTGGAGATGATCTTGTTGGTCACATTAAAAAGGCTAATAGGTCTATAGTCGGACCAGAAACTCGGGTGTAACACCCCATTTTATTATAAAGAATTACCGAATAAATTTATAAAAATTAGAGTTAATTTTTTTTTTTTCGCAAAATCTCTAATTAAATTTTAAAACTCAAAGGGCGCTACTTATCTACTAAGAATAAATTAAACAAAAATACAAATACATAACCCAAGCATAAAACAATAAGGAAACATCTATACACGCATAGCTAACAGTTATAAACAATAATTCCATGCATTTATTGAGTTCCTAAAATATACATAAGTAAAGCATAATCCCCAAAGGTTTCAATACGACATAACTTAATTATCCAAATCAAAACAGGAAAATAAAACCAAGTCATGAAACAACAATTCAACAAGGTCATAAATAAGCGGGAACATATACCATGGTAACATAATCAACCCATTGACCACATCTCGCTCGCCTCTACGCCACCGCCTCCAGCTCATCTCAACCTAAAGAAGGAAGAGAGAACAACGACAGAAAACAAACAATGGGGGTGAGCATAACCAACAAGCTCACCATTATCGCACAGTTATCCAGTATAAAGCATTTTAAAACATTTTCACAGTATGCATATAATCCAAGGTCTAAACTCCCTAATCAGCCCTATTGCAAACCTCCTATGTACATACAACAACTTTTTGGATACAACAACATGGAAGTAACTGGAAACCTTCCCACCCCCGGGTACAACGGTTCGTAGGATCCTTTCTAGGAGATAGTGGAGATGTTTTTCCCCTTTCAGGTACAACGACTTGGGGCGTCTCCTCCCGGATACAACGAGTAGGTGAGCTCCCATTGTTTTCTCATTCATCAAAGGCACTATTGTACGGGACA